AAAAAAAAAAAAAAATGTATATATATATATATAAAAGCAAAGTCCAGTTGGAGTTTCCTTTGACCATTTCTTTGTTTTGAATATTATAATGTGCATACTATATAAAGTTCCTTATTTAGTGACCAATTCATTTCACTGCTTAATTGTAGGCCTGTAGTCTCATCATTAAACAGGGAGTGTTGTATACATTAGTTTTGGGCAAAAGGTAATTTTTAATTTTTTGTAAAAGATAGCAAATAATTGGATGCCTAAATAGCATCTGAGTCTGGTCTCTTTGGCCTGTGTGTGTGTGTGTGTGTGTGTGTGTGTGTGTGTGTGTGTGTTTTGCTAGGATAAAATTCAGGGCCTTCACACTGAGCTACATTCCTCCCCGCCTTCTTTTCATTTTGAGACAGGTTCTCACTAAGTTGCTAAGTTGCTGAGGCTGCATTCAAACTTGCCATTCTCCTCTCAACCTGCCAAAGTGCTGGGATTTTTTGTTTTGTTTTGTTACCAGGGATCAAACTCGAGACCTTGTGCTTGGGAGGCAGGCTGCAGAACCACTGAGCTAAATCCCCACCCTGGGATTTTTTTTTTTTTAAGAGTAGGAAACATTGAAAGAGAAATAGCTTTTTTGTTTTTTGAGACAGGGTGTCGCTATGTAGTTGAGACTGACCTGAAACTCACTATGTAGCCCAGGCTGGTCTTGAACTCACAGCAGTTCTCCTGCCTCAGTCTTCCAAGTACTGGGGTTACAGGCATGCCCACCCTGCCTGGTAAGAGGGATAGCTTTTAAGAGAAACAGTAGGAGGACTGGAAAGTGGATTGCCTGCCCACCCTGCTTTTCAAATGTGTTTTATAGGGCAAAGCCATGAGCTGAGGTGGGTACAAAGTGGGATAAAACTATAAGACCCAATGGAAAATTACAAGGTGGGCATGAGGTGGGACAAAACCATGATCAATAAGATTGCAAGTACAGTCACCCCTTAATATTGATTAAAAGGGCATCAAATGGGAAAACATTGTGTACAAAGAATTTCCTGAAAGGAAATGGCCTAGGGAGATTGATGCCTATAGAATATCTATCACTGTTACTCATCTCTAGCGGAAGTAGTTCCTGTCTTCTTTCTGTAATGCTAACCACTTTATAATAGTTTCTAACTAACTTAGCTATCTGCGGTATTCCCCCCTCTGAAGAAGTATCCTTGGTGAGGGGGAAAAGGGTGTAGTTTTTATCTAAGTGCTTTGAGCTGAGAAGGGTCAATGTAAAGGAGACCAGAGTTAGGGGCTTTCTCCAGAGCTAACTGAATGGGCCCTAGATAGAAATCATATTGTAGTTTAGCAGTTTTGACTTAGAAAAAGTCGATCTGGTGGATCCTGGTAAAAGGAGTCTTAGCACATTTGTCTTTGGTTACATCCGTATGACCGCTTGGCGTTTGGCAGACTCTAAGCTTAAACAGTTTTTAAGAAATTACAGCGTGTGTGGGGCAACCCATTTTATGGTGCCTCTTCTTGTCTCGCTTAGAAGCTTTCTTTCACTAAATTTTTCCTACTCTTAAAAAAAGAAAAATGGGGCCGGGGATTTAACTCTGTGGTTCCACCACCTGCCTGGCAAGCACAAGTTCCTGAGTTCTAGCCCCAGTACCAAAAAACAAAAAAAACTTAAGAGTAAAAATACCATTTCAACACACGCTTTCATAAAAGTGAAAAGAAAGGAATACAGCTAATTGGTTTTGTGATGTCAGCATAATCACAGTACCGAAACCACATGATGACATTAAAGAAAATAAAACCACAAATAAATATTCCCAAAGAACATCAATACAAACATTTTTAGAAAATTTTTATCAAATAAAATAATAAAAAAGAAATTGGAGTGTGTATAATCTAAGCAGGAGCACTTGAAAGGCAGGTTGAGGAAAGAGTCATACTTAGAAACTGAAACAGTGGTTGTAACTTTCTGGCTCTTAGACTCCTATTGACGGAGGTTATCTCTGGGTCTGATATTTTGTCACAAGTCTCTAGTTTTAGCTGCAAGAAGATAAGAGACAATTTGAAGGACAAATTTAGCTAAGAAATTAAAAATTTTGTTGAGCTCATATACCATAGTTTTATTTATTTATTTATTATTTATTTATTTTAATGACTCATGACAGTGGTCAGCTACCAGTGTAGCTGGAAATTGCCAGAAGGGGTCAGGGATGGGAGCCTCTTTTTAAGTCTAGCTTTATTATTATGGTCTTTTTTTTTTTTTTTTTTTTTTTTTTTGGGTACTGGGGATCGAACTCTGGTCCTTGTGCTTGCGAGGCAGGCCACCGAACCTCTGAGCTAAATCCCCAGCCCTGGTCTTGACTTAATATTTTAGTTACATTTTTCTACTGGGTGTTTGGGACCAAGTGAAAGTGAGATCTGTGTCAATCTAAATTAGCCTCTTGCTGTCTATCAAGGTTGGTTAAATCTCCCTGGACATTGACTGTGGAACCAAGTATAGAGCCTCTCAGCTCTTCTGTCTGAGTCAGCCGTCAGGATGGTTTGCGGCGTTGCTTGACCAGGTTGCCTTTGGTGAAAGCAGCACTTTTCCCTACTACGGCATACTATGTTTGTTAATTTGGTGTCCAGCCATCTCCCTCAGGAGACTGGGTGACTACCAAAGAGGTAGGATCCTATAGAAAAGGATCCCTCATGTCCTGGATCTTTTTTGACCTTGGAGGGCCATGGCCAAAATACTGGCTGTTCTCTTAACATAGTTCTGGTCTTCAAACTTTCAATCTTGAACACCCAGAAGAGAAGATCGGAGACATTAGTACTGTAGTGGGAGCAATCAGCTTAACTATGATGATTTTACCTGACTGTCAAGCACCAAAGTGCAGGGATTACAGATGTGTACCACCATGCCCAGCTGGCTCTCTGATTTTTGTTGTTGCCGTTCACCATTTTCCAGGCTAAAATCTGAGTGTTGTCCTTAATTCTTCTTCCTCACCACTCACATTCTGTCTGATATCTGTCGATTCCATCTGCCTCAGCATTTCCTGAATCTTTCTTTCTCTGTTGAAATAGCTACAGCCTTGGTTCATTTTCTCATCGTGGTAGTCAGGCTATTTCACGGCCCCTTATGAAACCTGTCAGCGTTCTTGGCAGGCCAGTCCTGCACTTTGTCACATGAATGTGTGCTGCTTCCTCCATAATTCTTCCTCAGTCATTCTTTTTGATCAGAAACATAAAGTTGGAAAGGTATGGGAATCCATATTAGATGATATATGACCTTAAGTGCTGTGAATTTTGAAAGAAATTTAAATTTATTTTGGTTTTGGTTTTTGGAGGTGCATGGGATCAAATCCAGGGCTTTGTGCCTACTAGGAATTACTACATGAGCTATATCCCCAGCTCCCTCTCTTTTTTTGGAGACAAAATCTTGCTAAATCTCCCAGGTAGGACTTGAATTTATGATCCTTCTGCCTCAGCCTTCCAAAGTCTGGGATATAAGCATGTGCCGCCACATGGCTAGCTAAGAGCTTAGAGAAAATACATATGCTGAAGACCAGTGATTCGACAAAGGTTTTTGAACAGAAGAGCAGAATGATCAGAGCTGTGCTTTTTAAAATTTCAGTATTAGGAATCAAATCGAGCCCTTCCACGTGCCCATCCCCCCTTTAAAATTTTTTGAGATAGAGTCTTGCAGAGATCCGAGGCTGGCCTCAAATTTGCAGTCCTCATGCCTTAGCCACCCAAGTAGCTGGGATTATAGGTTTGTGTCAACACACCCTGCAAGAGCTGTGGTTTTTTAAAAGATAATTCTGCAATCGAGGCATGAGTGTACATTCTTGTAACTTGTACACGGTGGGAGGTTGAGGCAGGAGAATAGAGCTCAATGCCAGTCTGGGCGATTTAGCAAGGCTTTTTCTCAAAAACTAAGAGCCAGGCATAGTGGTTCATACCTGTAATCCCAGCACTTGAGAAATGAGGTAGAATCGCCATGGATTTGAGGCCAACCTGGGCTGTACAATGAGTTCGAGACCAGCCTAAACTACATATTGGAACCAGCTGAAAAAACAAAAACACTAAGAAAAGGATGAGGACGTAGCTCAGT